CTTTTTCAGAAGGAGAGTTCTGTTAACTTTCAGTTCTACCGCAAACGGTAATGCCTAAGTCTCCAAAGGTCGAGCTGCAAACACCAACTGCTGGAACTGTCTGTTAACTTTACTTGGATAAAAAGTAGCTGAACAAACCTGTGTTCTTCGTAACCCGAACTACGTTTGCTTTGATCTCTCACGCTGTGTGAAAGTACGTAGGCACGGGATGCGATATCTCGACGAACAACCTTCCCCCCATCACCCGTAGTTAGGCGAACTACGTTGACTCTGATTTCTCGTTCTAGGCGGGAATACGTAGGCATAAAATGCGATACTTTGCCGAGTCATTTTCCTTTCTTTTCAGACCATACCTTTAGCATAGATAGTTTAAACACACCCTTTTCCGTTAAACAACAAGCGTGGATCCCATCGAGTACGATGGACGTGAGGGGTGTTAATACCTTCCCCTTGCGTAACCGACTCCCGAATCCAGACAATGGTTGCGATGACCTTGTCTTATACCTTTTCGTCAGGTTTTTCCGATCGTTTCCTTTCCCGCTCTGAGGGATAAATAACGAAAGGTGGCGACTCTTTTGTTTTGCCGGCACCTTATTTTTGCAGTAGCGACACCTTCACCCGAAGATTCATAAATACTCACCAAAATCGTCTCACTTAAGCACGAGTTATGACCATAATGGAGTTGGTTGGCCATCGTCAAATATTTTTTGGCCGCCTGAAGTGACTTCTAATAGAAGACACAACGGGATAACCATAAAGCGAGGAAAGCTATGTGTTATACTTCAGAAACTTCATTCGTTGTTTTGTCATGACAGTGTGCAATATGAGTGGAGTAGTCAACTCTAGATGTCGAAAAATCTATGGTGTCATCAACTTGGTAGTCTGGTTCATAAGTATTGCCAGTTAGTTTAAGCCCCGTGAAGGCGGCTATGTCGAAGAGGGTTGATGACATCATCCTACAAGAAACATGGAAGGTATAATGGGTACTATCCCAGAAGTACGTGGAAGAGAGTAACATAGTCGAACAATATTCAGGTCCTACTTTTGACAGCTGGATTAAGTCGAAAATACCCATATCTTTCTAGATCTGGGATTTGGCTTTCTCTAACTTCTTTAGCCATCCTAAGTAGTCAGAGGGATCTTTAAAGGAAGGACCAGATTGAAATACCTTAAAACCATTGTTCATGTATCTTAAGTCAATGGTTTCATTTGTCGAAGGGTTGTCTTGGTTAGCAAATTCTGGGTCTTCACTTATGGTAACTATGGAAGAATTTAAGTTTAATGAGGTCAATATTGGGATCAAATATAGGTCATAATAAAGCATAAGACTTATCAGTAACATAAACAAGGACCAGTACCTGAGATTTGTAGATCCTGCGTTGTTCTTTAGAAAATGGTTTTGGAACATATTATTGATTTCCCACCATGATTGGGCTCGAGATCATGTTGAAAGGAGGGAGGTTTGAAAGCTTCTTAGGATCTTTCACGAGTTTGGAAGATTCTTTGGTAGCTTTGGTTGATGATGCCATTGTGGCTTAAAGCTTGAGATTTGAGAAAAAAATGGATTTCTTAAGTTCTAGGAAACATGATGGGGAAGTGACAGTTGCAGCCTATACCACTATCTCATAAGTTCTTGGAAACATGATGACTTTAAAAAGATCCCCACGTGGGATTAAAGGGACGTTTCAAAAAAAATATCATGATGACCCTGACATCATAATAGTGTTGAGGTATATGAATAGTTTGCGTCGTAGAATTGATTGTGGCGTCAAATCATGTTATAAAAAATGCCTTTTTCTTCACATAGTGTCAAAAATTATATTTTTTGGGGGAAATTTGGTAGCTCGTAAATTCGACGTCTGGTTTAAGTTAGTGGAATAAATAAAGGAAAGATAATTTTTGGGAAGTTATGGCAGACTTCGACAGGACAATTTATTTATGAAAGTCTAGTCGAAGTGACCCCTGTGCCAGAAGGAATGATTGTTTGGACTTAGAGAAATTCTCTAAGTTTAAAGATGTAGTTCGAAGAAAAGGCCAATGATGATGTCTTCGATTTAAATTTCAAATTTGAATAAAAGAGGGAACTTTGTTCTTATTCAGTTCTAAGAGAAGACACATGGAACACATTAAGAAAGTGAAAACATGTCGATCGCCACTTGTTTTGCTTTAGGAGAAAGGCTGTTAGAGGTGGTTATTTCGATTCAATAAAAATAAGAGGCCCGAGTGATAGGATTTTGGTGTGTGATCAAGTTTTTACAAGTCACTAAAATTATTCAAAGTATCCAGTGTGTAGAGAAAAGAGTTATTGAGAAATGTACGTTTGATGAAACATCATTTTCTTACAATTTAATCAAATTCAGTTTATACTTTTGTCCAGAAATTTATCTTCTTTATTGCATAAGTTTCTTTTGATGCGTTTTACAACACTTTTTGATTACTTTTTCTCAACATATTTCTTTTATCAAATTAAACTATTTTTCAATCATGAATGTTGTCGAAGTGTTCATTGTTTCTCAAACTTTAATTTAAAAAGCACAAGCACATGTCCTAGGATTCACTGGTTGATCATGTAAGTTAACCAATATTTGGAGACCAACGGTTGTTTACCAATTTTTACGGTAAATTGGCATCTGTTGGCTCCGCTCCCGCCGAACGGATGTGTGCTGGGCAATCCGTCTATGCCTCAATCGGTCGGCTCTGTCACCCATTATGTTTGCAAGGTATAACTAACCATGCAATGAGTTTACGCAAATGAATAGCACAAACAAGAAAATTATAAAACAAAAAGAAAAAAAACAGACTGAGAAAATTCCAGAGATACATCTTCGAAAAAATTCAACGTTTCATGTACTCTGGGTGATTCTAGAGATACATATGCAGAAACATTTTGTAGTTGTATCTCCGAAATCACCAGAGTACATGAAACGTTAAATTTTTTCTGGAGATATTTCTCTGAATTTTTCTGAAACTCAGAGGTCGCGACAATGACACCCTCTCTCCCTCAGAATGAGAAATTTGAAGCCCTGATAGTCCATTTGAGCGAACAAACAATATATACACTTACTTTAAACTATGTTTAAACTAATTTATAAACATTTCTACACCTAACAATGCATTTTAACTCGTTTACAAGAATACTCGAATATTTATCGGAAATTTAAAAACCTAACCGAATTATATGATCTAGAAGATGTTGAGTAATGTACTAGATGCTCATTGATTACTTAAGCCTCGGACGAATGAAATAAAATTTGGTGAAGTTAGAGATATTTAGGAATGAGAGAGATGAAGAGATTTGTGAATGAAAATGAAAAAGTGAGGGAGGATAAGAGTTTGACACGATAATATGCTTCAAATTATTCCGAAGATATATCTCTAGAATATTTCAATGTTCACTTAAGTTTTCATGCGTCCAGAGATATATCTCTGAAATATTTAAACATTCAATTGAATTTTAGTGCATTTGAAAATATATATCTCTGAAATCTAGAGACATATAAAGAAAGTCACATGTCGTGTAAGAAGTACGTGCAAAAGAAAATCTTATTTTTTTAATTAGTTTTTTAGTTTTTAAACACGCATCCACCAAATTATCTAAATCAATTTATTTTTATAAATTTTTTAAGTAGGTTTGACCGGAGGTTGACCCAACCCATAAGCACTTCTAATAAAAACAAATTCACAAGTCATTATTTAAAATAAAAAAATTATAAATAATTATTTATTTAATAATTTAACAAATATTATAAATGAGTTTGACTATTTAAAAATTAATACTGTTTAAAGTGAAAAAAATTATAAATCATTATTATTTAATAATTCAATTAATTGTATTTTTCGAATGAATATTATATTATAACTCGTTTCTATCATGATAATAAAAAATAAATTTAAAGTTTTGTAATAAATTATTTAATTTTGTGGTTAAAATCCACTAACACTACCGATTGTTGAGCCGAATGTATTTGATACAGTTAATTTTTAACTCAATCTTAAATTATGTTTAGTTTAGATTTGATTTGTTTTATTAAAAGAAAATTGATTCGTTAACAACAATTCAAAGATTGGATTTGGAATTTAAAAGTAAAAGATAATCTATATTCTTAAAACACGTGTTAGGAAAATTTTATATTTTCTCAAATTAAATATAATTTTATCTAAATTAAAAATTAAAATTAAAATTAAATTTAATGTAAATAAAAAGTAAATTAAAAAAACATAGTGCGTGGAATTTCTATCTTTACATATTTTTTTATAAAAGAGATAGATATCTACGTATTAAAGAAATAGATAAAAAAAAATTAAAGATAGTAGTAGTTTACCTTAAAATCAAATTAAAAAAAAAAGAAACCGACAAAAAAAGAGAAAAAAAGAAGATATAGATTAAATCGAAATGCTCAAAGCTATAGTTCAGTCAGAGTCTTAACGCGTTATTCGTCACCCTCATTTTTGTACCTATTTATCTTTTTTATTTAATGAATTTTTAAGTTTAGCCAAAATTTATTAAATAAAAAAAAATCAAATTAAAAAAAAAGAAACCGACAAAAAAAGAGAAAAAAAGAAGATATAGATTAAATCGAAATGCTCAAAGCTATAGTTCAGTCAGAGTCTTAACGCGTTATTCGTCACCCTCATTTTTGTACCTATTTATCTTTTTTATTTAATGGATTTTTAAGTTTAGCCAAAATTTATTAAATAAAAAAAAAAGTCTTAATGTGTTCTCCAAAGCAAGGGCTCTTTAGTAGTTTCGCGAAAAAAGAGCCGAATTATTATATTAAATACACGCACGAACCTGTCAGATACCCTAACAAATTCCAACACGTAGCAAAAAACCCGTCGGTTCAAATGCACACGATTCTATCCCTAATAATTCGAAAATAAAATTCCAACCCTAATATTTTCTATAAATAACGACTTGTGCTATCTCTCACATCCCTAAAATACAACTGTAACGCTTTCTCTCTCCTCCGTTAACACACGTTTTCGTTCTCTCTCTGGACATGGGAACTGCGATTCTCCGTTCCCACGATTGCCTTCAACGTCGGTATCTTCCTAACGACTCCTTGTCATCCTCTTCCTCACCGATTCGATCTCAAAAAAACTGTAGCCCCAACCCTAACTACAAGTCCAATGTCAATCAGAATCGTCGCCGGAACCGGAGTCCGGTGTCCGCCTTTCCGGCGGCTAAACAGCACGATCGGAGAAAGTCCGGTGAACGGACGTTTGATAAGGTTGCTCCGGTGAATCTTGTCATGGGAAAAGTTAAGATTCTCAAAAGAGGTGAGAAGTTGACTCCGGATATTAGCTATGATTCAGGACTCGTTGTGAAGGCTATGGATCTGAAGTTGGACCAACCTGAACCAGTAGCCATGAAGAAGCAGATTAGGGTTTCAGATTCGAATTTGAAAGACGCAATTTATGCTGGGTCGACGATTTTTTCTTCTCCTTCTCCGAGTTCCGTTCCGGTTCCTTTGTTTTTGCGGAAGAACGGTGTGGCCACCAGTGATTTGCGGCGGTTGTTACGGCTTGATTAGGAATGATTAGTTGATTTTCGTTGTTCGTTGTTTGTTTACTTTCTTCTTTTCCCAAGTAGATAGTTGTCATGGATAGGTGTTTGTTCGCAGCGTCCCTAGCGTGCTTCCTTTATTTTTTCAAGAGGATTGCACGTAGGGTGTGAACTAAGTATAAGTAGTGTTGAAAGTGAAGCAAAGGTTTTAGTATTGATGAAAAGGTTTAATCGTTCGGTGTTCAGTTCCTGCTAAGGGACATAGTTACAGTTAGGTTTTGGTTTTAGGGTTAGTTCATATGTTGATGACATACAGGGATGAATCTATTGTAATTTCCTTTAGTCTGATCTACGTGAATATAGACTATAGTGTTTGAATTTAGGGTTTTGATTTTCATATTGAAGAATAAAGATGGCTCTTTTAGTTTTAGGTTTCAGGTCTTTGGTTATATTCTGTGTTTATTTTTCTACTGGTGTACTTGAATTTTTGAAATTCAATGGTAATAGAAGAAAGCTTTTAGTATTAGTTTCACTCTTTCTGCTAATTTGAAAATTCAATGTTTATTACACTGTTCTGAATTTAGATATTTTGATTTATCTATTCAATTTAATATGATTACACGGTAGTGTGGGTGTTTTTAAGTTAGATATTCTGATTTATATATTTGATGTAATACGATCACACTGAAGTGTGGGTTGTCTTTGGGTAAATTAATTGATGCCTCAGATATTTCCGTGGCAAATTCTTCATGATTAAGGCTTCGTTTGGATTGATCGAGGCACAGATAGAGCGGAGTTTAATTAAGTGTTTATTCTGCTCTGTTCTACTAAGTTTTCTTAAGAGCATCTTTAGTGGGAGTAAACTAAATGGGTAAACTAAGATACTTTTTGTGGGCCCAAAGTGATTTGTAGGATTTAAAAAATTTATAGTTGATTTGAATAGTTTTTACTTTAATGGTGGTTGTCTATAAGAAACCAAAACTTGACCCCACATTTTATATTTTTTATTCAAGTTACCATTAATTTAGTTATTTTAATTAAAACACATATAATTTTTTAAATAAAATTTACCTTAAAAATTTAAAAATAATATTAAATAAATTTTATTATAAAATTAAAAATGATACAAAATTCACAACAATAATACATAAAAAAATTACATTTTCATAGGAATATAATTATAATAAGGATTCGATTGGTGGAGATTCATTTGATAAATAAATAAGATTGGAAATTGAAAGAAAAAAATTTAGAAGTAAAACTGTGGGTAAAAAAAATTAAAATTTCTGATAATATGATCGTTACTATTTTCAAATATCATATCCTTACTTTAATGTTGTTGGAATATTTGGAATATTTTATTAATATTAAATAATATTATAATAGGTTTCACATAGTTAACGTTAACTATATAGATAACGGGAACTAACTTTTAGTTCATTTGGATGCCATGTCAGCTCTCTTATAATGCAAATTCCTTATTACTAACGTAAGCTATAAAGAATTTTGATTTAACAACCTTGCGTTAAAGTTGCTCTAAGATATTTAAACACAAGCATAGCCTATGTGATATTGTGCAACTAGATTTCACAAACTTTCCCGAGAAAAACCAGATAGGGTTTGGAATGGATTCAGTCCAACTAAAATTTAACATCTTTTTAGAGTATGGTTCAACAAGAAGGTAAGAGTGTTAAATTGAAAGAAAAGAGTAAAAACTTTAATAAAAAATCTTAAAAGAAACAAAGCGTAATACTAAAGAAAAATATGTAAATTGCAGAAGATAAAGTGAAAGTAAATTTCATTAAAGTATAAAAATGGTGTTTTACAATAGTAAACACAACACTCCGAATTCTATTGCTAGAACTCCTATTTATAATAATAAATATAACTGCTGTTAACCTTGACAAGTGTCGTGCTGCATGTATTTGTCTCTTGGATGTGCGCCACTTGTCTCGTTCAGGAACGAGAAAGTATAACTACTCCCTCATTTATTTGAATTTCACATTTTGCTATTATTTGGCCAGCATTCTCGGTCGAAGGTAGCTTTTTTATGCGAGTCTTCGATTTCATTTGTGGTAAATACCAAGTCGAAGGCTTCTTTACATTACCTCGAGAAATCAATATTTTAACCAAAAATTCTAATTACATTACCTCGAGAAATCAATATTTTAACCAAAAATTCTAATTTAATGTGGGCGTCGAATTTGTGAGCTAACAAATTGTCCCCAAAAAATGTCTTTTTCGACAGTGCTAAAGAGAAATGTCGTTTTTTGATAGTGTCTTATTCGACGCAACCTTTCGACTCCACGTAGGTGTCAACTTAAAATAACAGTTCAGCCACTTTTCAAGCACGTCCATGACGTCATGGCCAATTATGAAAATAATTTCTTGGAAATTCCACCAAATCTCAGACCATCATCATCTCTCCTAGGACCTATGAGATTGCGGGCATAGGTAATAACTATCACCGCCCCCACTCTCGCTTCTGGGACGCCATGTGTCCCACTACCTTTGATTACTTTCAGTCTTATAAATAATCTCCTCAGAAATCATTTCTACTTTTTTAACTCAAAGCAATCACTACGCATTTCTTCCAAACACTCCCAACTTTTCTTCAGTAAACCCATTTTTCTTAAACTCTTAGCAATGACGTCCTCCATTGCTGCTATTCAAGATTAGAAGAAAAACCCAAAGGTCAAGGGGCTCAAGAGTGTGTTGTTGCTTCCTCCCTTTGCCACACTAAGCGGGCCCAAGGTGGTGAAGAACCAACGGTTCATTCCTGAACCTCTCATAGAAGAGAAGAGACACATCTATGAATCACAGGTAATGATTCTCGTGACTGTTTCAGGTAAACCCCTAGTTTTAGCTGGTCCTCTATCTCCTTTAGGAACAAATTACTCAACCATTAGCGACTTCTTTCCCTCCTATCACAAGACTAAACCCTTAGGGCAGAAAGATCAAACAAAAGTAGCCATTGAGGGTCCTGATAGTATAACTTTGCACAACGTAGACCTGAAGTATCTGAATGATGGGTCCAGGCTGTTCAGAGCAACTCCCTATTTCAAACATTCTGACCTTTATTTGATTTGGTTGACCAAAGTAGAGAAGGTCAAGGCAGAAGCTTGGAAGAAAACTGAGATTTATGACTTGATCATGGTGTCGAAGACAGGTCCCACTTACTGCCCTATTCTGCTGGCCTCTTCTTTATATTTCTGGGATAATACCCACTCTACCTTTCACCTTCTTTGTGGGATGATGGCACCCACTCTTTTTAACCTAGCTGCTATCACATGGCTAAAACCTCATGGATTGGCCTATGATCCTAAAGTGGATAATCAGGACATCATATGGTTTTCCACCACCAAGCACATGCATACTCACTTCATCAATCACTATCACAACAAAAAAACAAACACCGTCGAAGACCAAGAATACATAGCATTTATGGCTATGTGGCTTTCTCGTTGTGTTTTCTGTACTAAGTCTCTGCAGGTGGCAAGGAAGTATCTTACTCTAGCCAACCAAATACATCTGAATCGAGGTATTTGTTTAAGTGAAATGATACTAGCCAGCTTATATAAATCTCTGAGCGAAGGTGCTGGTCGACTGAAAAGCCAAGAGAGTAACATGAATATCTTGCTGTTGGGGCCTTTCTGGCTACTCCAACTCTGGCTTAATGCCACATTCGAGGCTAGCCTTCCTAACAAAGGAACGGTCGACGAAAAAAACCCAGAGATAAAGGAGATGTGAGTCGAATGGACTCGACTGGTTAAGCTAACCCCTAGTGAAGAGGGGCAGACACTTAAGACCTCTATCTCTAGCTTTATTAAGATGTTCGTCAAACGACACGAGTTTACACCGTGGATGACCTTATTTGCAGAAAGGAAATACGATCCTGAATGGTTTACCAGAGCCTTCCCTCCCGCGTTCAAAAAACATAAGGCATAGTTAATGCTTGTCTGAAAGGGTTTTTTGATCCCTCGACTAATTGTCCACAAACTTAACCTTCTGAGGGGCCAAACAGGTTTGATGGCCTACCAGCCAAATCTTGTCTCTCGACAGTTTGGTTTGGCCTAAACATTGCCCAAGTGTCTATATGACAAGAAGGTTCATGTGATCCTTCCCCATACTATTTACAATGGTATAAAGAGTTCGACGCCTCTTGCTCGACATGTCCACAAATCTCTCCTTATCCCTGTTTACTTCGAGCCCTCTCACCTTTGCACCCAGGAATTCTACAACTTGTGGTCGAGGCATTACACTGCAGAGTTCCTCGATGTTACTAGTTTTATTCGCTTGATTGACCAAGCTTTTGTTGATGTGTAGGAGAAGGTCAAGAAAGGTATATCTACTTACATCAAAGAGATTCAAGCCTTCCAGAAGTACTTTGAATCTGCTTATCGACCAAATGATGTTAGTCGAACCATCCGTGAAGCCGCTGTTACGCTGAAAGAAAATTTTTCAAAGAAAATGGAGAATTTAAAAATCCCTTCATACGTTCCTCCTGAGAAACTTTATGAAGTGGCTTTCGCCCTATTTCCCCCAAAGACTCCTCGACTGCCATCTGCTGACTTTGGAGTGGCTCTTACCCCTTCAATTCCATATTGGTTCATCTGCGAGGATCTATAAAAATCCTTCATCAACAGTCAAAACCTAAGGCCTGCAGGTGGTTCCGACTAAACATACGCTCGACAGTTTCAAAGGGCACCTTCATGTCGTATTGAAGATGTTCACATTGAATCCAAAATTCTTAAAGGTCGTCATCCTTCAATTTTATGTTCCTTTATCTGAACTCTATTATTCCTAATATGTGGCAACGTTATTTCTTTTGCAGCTGCACCTAAGAAAAGTACACCTTAACCACTGGTTGAGATATGGGTTGAAGGCAGCAAGGTATTTTACATGCCTCTTTCTTTTATTGATCTGGTCTTGATTTCCTCTAATGCTTCTTGGTAACTCAGGCTTCCCGTAAACTACCTCCAACACCTCCAAGGAAGTTGAAGAGGGCCACTCCCCAAGTTATCATTG